ATATATATATATATATATATATATATATATGTATATATTGTATATATTTATTATATATATAAGCAGCTTTCACACATCTGTTAAATGCACTATTCAGTCCATTAGTGACAATTGACGTCGACAACAATAATAACACGTCTCTGTAGAAATTACGATACCGTGCGCTAACTTTCTCTTTTTTTGATACTTTTCGTTCTTAATACAGTGGCAGGTTCTTGATACATTTTTTAATAAGCGATAGTTTATAGATTCACAGTAGGATTCTATCACGGATCCACGAAAGAGATCATGATGTAACGTGTGCCCGCAGTCACTAGTAATCCCTCGTGATAGTGTGTCAGTCTTCCAGGGTGCATCAGCATCCAACCTGGCTTCGTGTCGGTAACCGAGCAATTGTATCGGATGAACTTGCATCCACCGCCCTCATAATCCACTCCCGCTTGATTCAGGGCGATGTTGATGGTGTAGGTCGAAGAATCATGATGCGGTCTCAAGGATGGTTGCTCGTCCGGGCGATATCTCACAACAAAATTCATGAGAGACCGTGGTGGCTATCGACATAAAATTAGTATAACATATGATTCCAAGTAAAATGATTTACAGCAACTTTGAATGATACATTTCCCAAGCATAGAACAAAAAGTTATCATGACTGTGTCAAAATGACTTCAAAATGATTATTAAAAATATATTTTTGATTATTTATTTTCATGATTTATTTTAACGTTTTGATGTTATCGTGACTTGTTCTATTTGGATTCTCAAATAACATGCACAGTTACGTAAAATCGACATAAAATTCAGTGAAACTTTCATCAAATCTCAGTTAAGATATCAATCGAGTGTTACTTGGGGGTCTTAAGTTATTAATTGTTCCTTAATTGAAAAATCTACATACATACAACACAGAGATCCCAATCACTTGCTACGAAGCGGTACAACCTAGCTAATTAAACCGTGTGCTTTTAGCGAGTGCATGTACCATTGTGAGATCTGTGCGAAATAAGATCCCTTCCATATACCCAAATTTCAAAATCTTACGTAGTCATCATATCCTGTAAAGACATGTTCTTGTAAGGGATTGACATAATCTTTTAGAAACTTTAACCAGGCGTCCTGGAGACCGACTTGATTCATGTGAATATCACGAGTTGGTACCGCTTCGTATCCGGATTCCAATCGAGAATCCTAAAAAGATCAGTGAACATAAATAAATCTTACATCGTGAAAGTAGCCGGTGAAGACGAGCTCCTGCAACGGCCTAACGTATTCTTTCAAGAAATATAACCATTGTTGATCGTACTGAATTTGGTTCATGTGAATATCGCGGGTTGGCACGTTTTCGTAGCCACCCGACAATCGTGGATCCTGCCAAGAAAGTAAATCGCACAGTACAAGAATTCTAATAATGTTACTAAGCTAATTGGCGATAAAAGACTCATAAGAAGTATTTCTCTCAACTTACGTGATTAGTTCCATCCGACCATTGTCCGAAAGTCTCAACAATTCCTACGAGCTCCTTGGTAAACCTGAGATTAACAATGGGAAACCAATAGACGTCCGGACATGGCTGCAAAAAATCAAGTTGAACAGGAACTAGGTAGTAGAGAAGTGATAATTAAGAGAACTTTTGTACTAATCATCTTTACCTGTATCGGCTTGTTGTTGGGATTGAAGTTCTCACTGTAATTCGGATGAATGTATCTTTTCTCCCAGTCTAATTTATTTTCTATGATCTGGTACATGTCCGGATAGATGAGTCGGATGTCGTAGGTATCAGGATCGACGAGATGGCCGAACTCCAGTCGATTATTGACGTACATAAACAGGCCCCGCTGTCGATTTCCATGGGCGAATGCCATCTCCGTGTCCAGGTCGCCAGTCTCGTAGGTTGGCCGGGTCGCCTTGTTTGCTATAATCGTTGCGTTGATCAAGTAGCAGTTACTGACGAACGGCACGTTCCACAGTCCCCTGAAACAGGCATCAACGTGATTCGGCGAATTGTATATCAGAGGAGCGCTTCGGAGAAGGCGTACAACGAGCGCAACTAGCAGAGAGCACTTGTTTGCCCCACGGCTGGGCACGATGGCATTTGTTTTCCGGAGGTCGTCGCTTAAGTGTTTTGTAAGGTGATCGCAGTGGTAGCCGCGATTGGCCGTTGAACATACTTGGCAATGAGTTATGCATAATTATCCAATTGAGATTCATAACTCAGTACATCAGCGTGTGACTGCGCGCGTCGCCTCGTGGTTTCATTCGTATTTTAGGTGGTAGGACCTAGCGGATCCGTAATACGCTCGTGCCAGAGATCAGCCAAGTCCTCCGTAAGAAAAATCTTCCTGGTAAGAATAGCGAAATGCTCTTTGTGCACGTTGATGAATTGCGTTGCGCTGCGATTACATTGTAAATTGGCACGTTATTGCCTGCCCGATTCATTGATCTCATCATCGAATTTCTCACGATCGCGAATCGATATAACACTATAATGTAATATATATGCATATAAAAAGAGTAGTGGATAATACTATATAATAGTGATAAATGAGTTCGCGATAAGGTATATAAAGTGATCGTGACAAGGCCCGCGTGCGTTGTTGGTTACTCTTCAGTCGTCCAAGTTTCTCTAGTTCACTCTGGTTATAGATCAAATGACGAGATGCTGGCTACTCTATTTGCTTCTATTAGCGGCCCTAATGATAAGCACAGAAGCGGCGAAGGGCGGCGGTGGTAGAGGGAGAGGCCGCGGTCGAGGAAGACTATTCGGCTCGCGAATGCACATCCTGATCCCCAATCGAAATCCTGCGAGTACGCACTATTACGAGAACAAGGATGTGAGTTGACGATGGATGTGTGTATCTTGTGTATCTGTGCCGCGATCTAGTGATACCATTTCTCGGGTCTTTCGTAGGGTGCCAAGATCGTGAAGGCATCCCACTTCGAGCTGGACTACATGCTGGGCAGAAAGATTACGTTCTTCTGTATGGCGATCGGTGTCCCAAGACCGGAGATCACCTGGCTGAAGGACGGGATCGAGCTGTATCATCACAAGTTCTTCCAGGTAAGCTAATCCACAATTAAGATCTGGAACTGGTCTTCCCTAAAAGAAGTCCACTGTTAAAGATGGAAAATTGATTTCTCGGATAATCGCGAGAATCTGGAGATCGTTTGAATTGTCAGGTGCACGAGTGGCCTGTTGGTAATGACACGATAAAGTCAAAAATGGAGATCGATCCTGCGACGCAGAAGGACGCCGGATATTACGAGTGCCAGGCGGACAATCAGTATGCCGTCGATCGCAGAGGCTTCAGAACGGATTACGTCATGATCTCGTATTGAACGTTTTTCCTGATGGATAGCTCCGCGATCGCCATAGTATTAGAACAACTAATATCCTGTGTGAAAATAGATATAGACAATTTGTTATTGATTTGTTACATGATAGATTTTTATTTGATAAGTAGTTAGTTTGTGTACTTGATAAAGCTCAAATCCAAATTAATAAGGGAGATAACCCATTAAAACTAGTAACAACATCAATTACAATTTTACACTCAATAATATAAATATTACGTATTTGTTACATAACAGTTACATTGTTGAGTACAAAATTTTAACACTGATGTTATGTTATTGTTAATTGCTTTTCTACCCTCCTCAGAAGGCGGTCGTGATATTTAAGAAATTAGTCCAACTTTCTACGTGGCGTCAGCGACGTAAAAATTAAGGTCATAACAATTTATCTTTTTCCTTCTGACATGAACAAAACAGACCTCTTTTGGATCATCAACGGACGTGCGAAGATACGAAAACAAATCCGATGGTTCCCCCCAATTCGTTAAAGCATGATTGACTGTTATAAGGGGATATGTGACGCGAGGAATATATCGAAAATGGTCCATCACTGCAAATTTAACAAGGCAATTGCAATGCGCGACAGTGGCATGGAAGGGCGTACTTCTCTCGCTGCGTCACCAATGACTGCGACAATTTATAGCACAGTGTGAAATAAACAATCTGCATGAATATTATACTAATACTATATATAATAATTACAGTTATTTCTCCTCTATACAGCTTTTGTTTTCCGGTTTTAATTCTTGAATTTGAATACGTGTGACATATTGTTGCAAATTTTAATTAAGACGCGTCGCAGATAACTAATTTAAAAGTCACTTGCAATTGTACCGGAAATCTGAGTCATCCGGAAAGAATGGACAAATGGTTAAATTAATGGATAAGCGCTCTGCATATTTGATAGGAATTGGTGGCGATCATGTAGTGCAAAGGAATAACCGCTGTGCATATAGCCCGACATACATTATCTGCATATAAGTCTGTAATAGATGCGAGAGGACACTAGGGGAGTAATGAGTAGGTGACTGTCAGTTACATCGGAGTTCCGTGTGATCTACGAACGCTACAACGTACAGTGAGTATCCTCAGTCTATCTCCGTTGCAATAAATAATAACATCAGGCGACATTTTAGCATTTTCCGCACCTTTCTACAATCTCATAATAATAAGACTTTAATCTCGATTCGTGTTAATTGTGGATCATTTCAATCCAAAATCAAGTGGCACGAGCGATATACGAATCTACAAATTTGAAAAATCGCATAAGATATTATGTGTAATGTTTCATTCTATTCCACTCTTATTAGATTATCATGTCACGCTCCATGCTGTTGCTAATCCTGTTGGGTATATTATTGCTCAATTGTCAAGAGACACTTGGTAGAAGAGGACGAGGAAGGAGCAGGAGCAAGTCCCGTGTGCAAATTGGATTGCCCATTACCGGAAAGTATCGCGATCCGGAAAGCGATCAGTATTACAACAATAATAACGTACGTAGAAAAAGAGATTGCTCGAGAGGAACGTTTCTGTTCTTGCACTCTAGGATCTAATTCAGAGAAAAACATAATGACAATGACGACAACTATATAAATGACAATTATATAAGTTTTATATTGTGTAAAATTAATATACATAATGTAATTAAATAAATTATTTTATAGTAGAATAATTACAAGATAATTTATTCAACTATGCATATTAATTCTCATATAAAACTTAAATACATTATCATTGATATGATTACTATCATTGTTTTTTTTTCTAAGTGCAATACAATAAGAAAGAGATTACTGTCTCAATTTAATCTAAAGTCTCAATGTAACTTTCTCTTATTATCACCGGTGTATATTAATTTTGTTTAGGGAGCCAAGATACTTCTGGCGTCGCATTTCGATCTAGAGTACGTCTTGGGACACAAAATAGCTTTCCTCTGCGTTGCTCGTGGCAATCCACGTCCGCATGTTACGTGGTTCAAGGATGGCGCCGAGATTTACACGCATCACTATCTACATGTCAGTGAATATATGCATCTTCAATATAAAAAGCAACAATGTAAAATTATTAACTGCGGAACTGCAAAGAGCAGTCAATTGAGTTGCATCTACAATCAATAATGGCTTGATATTTTATCATTACTAATGGCATTTCATATTCTGCAGATACACGAGTGGCAAGTCGGTCCTGATAAAGTGAAATCGAAACTCGAAATCGATCCCGCTACTCAAATGGATGCGGGGGTCTATGAGTGCACGGCGGATAATATGTACAGCATCGATCGAAGGTCTTTCAAGACTGACTTCTCCATCGCTTTCGATTAGTGCGAATGTATGGGAAATCGCAACAAACACGTACAATTAGATAAGAAAACATATAAAGGTCAGGTAACACGTGAACTTTTTACGATAGATCCTAAAAAAAAAAAAACGATTTAGAGCGACATTGTATGACTTGCAGAAGGAGATTAAAACCTTGTCCTAATCCGGAATGCGAGAAATTGTTCTCGATCTTATCGAAGCGCAGCGTTGAAATTGGCGTCTATCTAGAATAATAATCGACGCTTCCTTTTCTTCATGCGTACATATTGTAGTTCAAGCGAAAAATATAGAGGATTGATATTTGTATGTTTCGCTTTACCTGCGTTCATTTTTTATTATTTCCATGTAATCGAAACTCCGCGCATAAAATCCGTCATCCGTTATGGCGCCCCAGAAATTGCTCCACGCTTTAAATGGTCGTATGAGCAAGGGCGCGACGATCCCTCTCTGCTGTTCCACCAGTAACTTCAACGTGTGCTCATTGTTCAGATGCGCGACTGCGTCGATCGACAGATATCCGGAACACTCCTTCAACAAGCAATGCTCCCTGTGAAACAGACCGCTTTTTAGCATTCCTGTAAATGTCACGCGTCCCTTCACTCGCTCTAACGTTAAATAGTGTACGCCTCGAATCTTTAAATCACAGACTTTTATGTATTATGGATCATTTACACCGATCTTTATAATAAACTCATATCGTTATATTTAGTGTTAGATAAAAATCAAATTTTATTATCACATATGCAACATGTTATAGCCATTTTTCAATATTTTTGTTTAAAATTATAAATATTATCTTTTATTTATTTAGATTAAATCACATATTCTTACTGCATACTGCATATTATCCCTCAGTAAATATAGCTATCAACTTCATATTTTACCGCGAATTTACTAGATGTTAGCGGTATAAAAGTCTGTGCTTTAAATTATAGCAAAGTTACGACCTCTGCTTACATTGCCAACTTCCTCGCGTCAACCTCGCTGACATCGTCGCTCGGCAATATTCGCTTCGCGCTCAGATATTCCTGGCCAATTTTCTCAAAAAAATCATCCACCACGTCTTCGTGATAGGGAACGTTGTTGTGAACAAACAGATGTAACTTTGACTTTGGATAGTATTGATGATAAATAGCTCGGAAGAATTCTTCCAGAAACGGCGTAGGACGCTCGATAAAAATGGCTATTAGAATAACCGGATATGTTTTCGGTTTGATCTTGTCGAGTTCAATGGTTTGGTCCCAGCACGCCAAACACCCCTCATCCGGCGTCCAAGCGCGGGCCAGATAATTGCCCAAGGAATTTAAGACCAGCTTGCTGGGTCCGTTGCCATGAAGCACGAGGGGTACTGTGTTGTAAACAATGTTTTGAAGATAAGCCTCTTCTCCCTTGAACCTCAGCTCCACATCGGCTGTAAAAGACAATAATAATGATAATTATCCAGTCAACAAAATGTTAGCAATTATTTACAAATTGCTGACAAAATCAATCAAAAAAATTAACAAATTGGCGTTAACTTGGTGTTTGCAAGCTTGTTTTGCTGACATAATGTGAGGGGAAATTGTCGACAAACCTAAAGATCTCCAAGACAGTTTCTACATAAACCAAGCAAAACTTTGGCCAGTTTTAGTTTTGAGTTTTTGTAATCAATTTGCGGCAAGTTGTCAGCTGTCAACAAGCTTGCAAAGTTTTTGCTAGCAATTTATTCTCATATTACGTGAGTAGATTTTATTTCATATCTGTCACTAATGCTAACATCGAATAATATAACAGAATGTGTATCAAATTTGATCGACAAAATTTGTAGCAAACATCTGACAAAATTTATTTTTGACATACTTGGTTGAATAAAATACAATTACTGTATACGCTCTTTGTTGCGGATTTCGCTTGCTCTTACCTACCGCACCGTAGAGATTTTGAAATATCTCAGATTTGTGATCTAGCTTGATCTTGTACCGTAACCTGAGCTCATCTTGCAGATATACGATCGTGTAGAATAACTGATCGTCATCTTCGTCCTTGATAACAGCGGTCTCTAAGATCTTATACACATCGGATGCATAACCGATGAAACCACCGGAATTCAAGTATCGTTTGCCCCTTGATACGGGCGGATACTGAGTCGCCAGGGATTTATCCGGCCAACAATACGCCTCCGCGGAAAATAAGACTCGAGCGTCGGTATCCAGGAAACGCTCGACGATGGTGGATAGATCGCCAAGAAATATAACGTCATAGCTAAAAGCAGGAAATATACATATTATAAAATATCTTCTCTGCGGTAACAGAATAGTTTATATGACCCAGGACACTCCAGCAATAATGCAATAACATTGCAACTCTTACAATATTACTAGAATGTTTCAATATTGCTGCAATATTGTTGTTGAGATATTCCATATTATCAGGGATGTACCCACCTATCAGTGAACAAAATAATCTTCTTTTCATCATTCTGATAATCCTCCAAGGCTTTCCTGAGGAGATTAATTTTGTATCCACCACCGGCATATCGCACAACGTTACCGCCTTTCCAAGGCTCGCCTAGACCAAGGATGTTCAATTTATCATGAAATCCATGAATCTCGGCCGATCTCAGGTACCTTCTGAAGCCATCTGTTTCGTTGGAAGCAACGGTAAATACCAGGACATCTAAAAAATATATATTATAATTAACTGTGAGATGAAGAATTAGAACATGATAATCGAAACACACTTTTTAACAAAAAAAGTTACGCATAGGTCTAAACATTGAGATCGTTTTCTCAATGATAGGCATGTTTTCAACACATAACATTTTTATCACAGGTCTCGTCGAAGAAAATTAAAAGAATCCTGTGATGTTTTGCTGTATCTGTCAACGTTTCTGAAATAATGGCTTTTTATTTAAATCTGTGTGTAACTTCTTTTGTCAAAGAGTATACAACATACAGAAATTACTTTCAATCATATCTTTACAAAAATTTTTTCTTTGTCTTGTTAAAGAGTTTAAATTGTCAAACTCATATAGGAAAGAAGATTAAGCGGATTGAAAAAGAATTGTTGCGAGCGATATTCGAGGATGAACCGTGCTTGTGCATCGGGACTACGATGTATCGATTCCTTCATTGTTCACCCAGCCGGTGAACTCGTTTACATTACGCCAAACTCGTGATGTCATGCCGAGAAGTAGCGCCCACAACAGCCGCAGCACATACGCTGGCTGTATTGAGAGAGAACACGCGTCTCCAGCGCTTGTATTACTAAGCTGTCGATATATACTTACGCAAGCAACACAAGATATTCTTAGAACGCAGAACCCATGGAAATTGGAGGAAACGCGCTTTCAGAGCATTTCGTTTCGAAGGCGATTAAAGGAAAAAGAAAATTGTTAAAATAACAGCCTCCTAGGAATGATTTACAAGAAAATTGTAAAATTAAAAATGCGTACAATGTGTTAATAACTGTGTTCAGCAGCTTTGCAATTATCGTATTTTTTTTAAATATGATTAGTATATATTATATTTAGATTCAGTGAAGAATTATATAAGAGCAAAAATAATCATATTAAAAAAATCTTACAACAGTTACAAAGTTTATTTAAGTTATTACTTATTCTGCTGAATGCTGTCAATGATAAAATGAAATGATCTAGTAGTTATATCAGTTGAAATAAACGATCAGTGTTAATTTAACGAATTATAAAACGTCGCTGAATAAAAAAATTTATAATAATAATTAGAGTATCTCTCGAGTCTCGCGCATCTGCTTGCGCGATGAGCAACGCCGGAAATGTAATGATAAGAACCGGTCCGGTTGCATGCCAAAAGAACGGAGTCGAATTAATTAAATTAGTTCACGTTCCATAAACGAAACGATCACGTCATGTGTTCATTATATCATTCAATCCTCGTTGAGAGACTTGAATGATAAATTATATTTCTCTATGCATGAATCATATAGAAGCCGCAGTTTGTTTTAATATAACAGACATTATTGTGTTCATACTATTATGATAAAACTAAAGAGCAGCGTTTATAATCATTCAAGCAGCGATTAAAAGGCGATTACGCAATGAGATATATTCGACTTGAGATCATGTATTCCATAGATAGCCTTTGTGACCCCTTTCTTGACTGTTCTTCGACTCAACATTAATTTGGAAATTGTTTCAATTCAATTAATCAAACATACGACCGTCATAAAATTAAATATAATTATACATTTAAAACTTTTGTTCCATAGCAAATAGAAACAGTGCGTAAAATTTTCCAAGATTATTATATAGTTGTTAGCATTTTGTTTAAGCTGATGTTAGTGAAGGTAACGAGCTATGTAAAGTGTGTCTTGCGGATAAAGTATTATTTCAGGCACGCGTCGCCTGGAGGAGTTAAAAAGAGCCGAACTCGTCGCCAATCGAACTGCGGTCTACGTTGATCATTTCTCCACTTTCCCTTCCAAATGATAAATAAATACGTATTATTCAAGTCATTTTCGGTCGTAAATAAGCTTGCGACTGCTTTCTTAAGAAAATCGAAGAGATGCGATCGTGATTAAGGTAGGATTCTCCAAAAGAATTTCCATCTGAACTGACGCGTGGGTGTTCGGAACACCGGTTTTAAAAGAATAAAAAAAAATAATAAAAGAAGAAGAGAGCTGTAGAAGAATCCGTCAAAGACTCCTTTGATATTGAAACTTCAATTCTCTTTTCACTATTGTTGTAAACGATTCTGATAATATATTTTTTATAGAAAACTTCATAACTATATATATATTCTTTTTTCATTAATAATATATTAATGAAAAATATATTTGATGTATTAATAATATATTAAAGAGAGCTGTGAAATAATAATTTTGCATCCATGTTGTGCACAATTGCAAGTAATAGATCTGGCTTTCTCAACTGTATTTGTATTTTTTTCTTTTTTCATTTGCCTAAAAATATAATCACATTTCGAAGAAAATATAATGTAAGCGCGACAGAGATTTAATAGATCACAAATAATCATCTGAAGTTTAGACTTAATTAAAATTAAAGCTCTTTTTCATTAATGTTTCATTAATATAGACACTATTAAAAAACTGTGAAATATAAAGCCTTCATCCATGTTATGCATAATTGCAATAGACCTAATTTTTTAAATTGCAATTTTACTTTTCCTTCTTTAATAGACTTTTTCTTTTTTAATAGACTGTTACATTTCAAGTGCAGAAAATATAATATGGACGACTAAGGATAGTTTGATAATTCATATACAATCGTCCAAAAATTACATTTAGTCCAAATAAGAGCATTGAAAGAAGTTTTCTTATTAATTTTTC